AGTAGTAGGTGGTGGTGGTNTACTATATATATACTCTCTCTCTCTCTCTCTCTCTCTCTNTATATATATATATATATATATATATATATATATATATATATAAATATATAAAGTCCCTGAATGTTATTGCCTTGAAATTGGAAAACATTCAAATATTTTATGTTGGCCTTGATAATTATGGTTGTGAAAAAACATAGGATTTCGAGCCTTAAAACTAATGTATATTGCAATACAATATCCAAACCGTCCATTGTCCCCCAAAAATAAGTGCTCATGTCTCTGCAAGATATTTACCATTTTTAGATCTCAAACTTCCGCATTCGGTGCAACTATCATAGAGATTTCAAATTGATTTTACAACCATTATAGAGATTTCCCGTATACTCAGTCTTGTTTGGACAATGACTCAAGGTGAGCCTTTTACTTTGTTTTCATAAAACATAGGGCTTATAAAAAGGGAAATTATCGTTAATATACGTTTATTTCAATAAAATCAGGAAAAAAAAAAAAACCCTAACTTTTCAAAACCTCACCTACATCTACACCATTTCTCACAAATTTTGGCTTTTTTTTTACCAAAATGGCCTTTACGGTATTTTTTTACTGTAATACATTTTAAGCTTTATGGTAATTAAAACATCGTAAAAGATTCAAATAGTATTACGGTAATTTAAATACGATAATAGTTTGAATTATGATTACAATAATTTAATTACCGTAATGTGTGGGGAAGTCTTTACGATATTCTTATTGCCGTAATACTTTTCAGATCAATTCCAAACCTGTATTAGTTGAAAAGCTTCAAACCAAAGCTAAGGGCTACCCCTATCTTCCCTTCACGGTAGTCATTTTCGGAGCTGTATTTTCCAAAAAATCCATGTTCCCATGGGAACACGAGTGGATCTAATCCCTTGCTCATAAACACCTAGTTAATAACGTTTTTGTTTTAAAAATTTGAAAACCATATAAAAATTATTAAATTATTTTTGAATGAATTGAATTGTGAGTTATGTGACACTTAAATATAACTCTTTGAAAATTTGATAGTCAATATTGAAGTGTTAGGTTTTTATAATATACATAAGAATTTATTTGGAAATTTTATTTTGCTGAAATTATTCTATAAGTAGTAGATATTATATCCTAAAATTTTAAGATTTGAAAAATAAAGCTCACATGGATTTTTGTCGAGGGAGTAAACAAATAGTAGAGACTTCTGAGAGAGTAGAAAATCTTTTATGTTATTTTAATGAGGCATGGGCAATATTGCAGTAATTAAATTACCCTAATATTATTTTAACGTATTACGGTATTTAAATTACCGTAATATTCATTCAACTTATTACAGTATTTAAATTACCGTAATGTTATTATGATAATTTAATTATTGTAATACTACTTTAAGGTATTGCGGTATTTTAATTACGTAATACTCCTTCAACTTATTATGTTATTTAAATTACCGTAATGTTCTTTATGATAAAAAGACTACTGTGAAGGTTATTTTGGTAAAAAAGGCCGAAAATTGTGAGAAATGGTGTAGGTGAGGTTTTGAAAAATTGGGTTTTTTTTTTTCGATTATAGTAAAATATAGGCATGTTAATGATAATTTCCTGTATAAAAACTCCATCCCTAAAAAAAAAAATTGAATTTGCCAATTTGAAGAAATTTTGAATTTGACAATTTGGAAAGCACCATGTAAAAAAGTTCAGCGAATATTTTGTAATGGATCTCAAATCCTCGTTGGAAAGCACTTTCAACAACGAAGATCTCCATAATGGCTCTAAAATCAGCTTTCAACACCGATAATAAAATTTGAAACAAAAAAAAAAGTACAAATCTTGCGGATCTATGAAAGCTTATTTTTTAGGGCAAAGTGGACGATCTAGATAATTTGTTACAATATATGATATTTTTAGAGCTTTAAATCTTATTTTTTCTTCACAACTATAATGTTCAAACTGAGATGATTGATGTAAAGGTTTTTTAATACTTGAATTACAATTTTTTATGAGTTATGAGGTAAGACCTTACTTATTGTAATAGGGCTGCTGCCCTATCAAGAATTTTCATATGAAGATTTACAATAGGAAAATGGTTTTAGGGTTGTGACCCTATCAAAGTAAGTAAATCCTAAGCTCATAACTCATTGAAAATTATACTTTAAGTATTGAAAATTGATTTTAGAGCCATCATGGAGATTTATGTTGCCGAAGTGCTTTCTGGCCGAGGATTTGAAGTACCGCTTTATTCTGTTTTCATAAAGCCTAGGCCTTATTGAAACTTCATGATGGCTCTAAAAATCAATTTTCAATACTTGAATTACATTTTTTATGAGTGATGAGCTTAGGCTTTACTTTCTTTGATGGGCCACAACCCTATCAAACCATTTTTGTTTTAAGAAAAATGGTTTGATAGAGCAGCACCCTATTAAAATAAGTAAAGTCTCACCTCATATCACATTGTAAATTGTTATCAAAGTATTAAATAACATTTACATTGATCATCTAGACTTGAACATTATGTTTATTAAAAAAACTAGGATATAAAGCTCTAGAAATAGTCTACATTGCAAAAAAATTATCTAGGCCATTCATTTTACCCTAAAAATAAGTATTCATAGATCCGCAAGATGTGTACTATTTTATGAATTTTAAAATTTGTTGTCTCTGTTGGAAATTGATTTTAGAGCCATCGTAAAGATTTTTATGGCGAAAAGTGCTTTTCGAGGATTTTAGGTGAGGCTTTATTTAGTTCATATAAATACCTCTTCCGAACATAAGTGGCAATGAATTATCTTATGAAAGGGTGCGGTTTACATAGAGCCTAGGCTCTAAACAATCAAATTAGGGCATATCTTCAAATAGTATCAAGAAATATGGTTTCAATACTAAAAATCATTGTGATAGTCTTAAAATATAATTTCATATTTATTTATAAAGTTTAAAGCTTAAAAAATAATGTAGACCAATAGATCTATGAAAACTTGAAAATCTTGAAAGTTCATAGTAAAAATATGCGTCACACAAAACACTATTTTCAAACTTGAAATCCACTTTTTTCTTATGTTCATATATCTTGACATTTAGATGATCAATTTTAAGATATTTAGACATCAAAACAACCTCTTATAGTGAAATTTTTGTGGTATGCTTCAATTTGATTGTTTAGAGCCTCGGCTCTATATAAACTTTTCCCATTATGAAATAGACGATTCCCCCAGTTTGGCTTTCTATTTTGAAAAGACCTTCGTTTCCCGCGCTCCATATTTCTCTTTTTTCTTTTAATCTTTTCGCGATTGCGGTCTCTTCGTTTACAGCTCCTCTATACCATGTCTTAAAAAAAAAAACCCTATTTTGTTTGCCCTGGTTGTTCAAAACCTTATTTCAGCTATTTTTTTCTGTATTATGAGGTATTTTATCTCTGTTTTTCTACTTCGATTCTCTCCAAAAGCGTTAAATCTGGTTTGCTCTAATCATTCTCGATTTTCCTGAATTTTACGGTTTCTCTGAAGTCCGTTCTGTTAAATAAATTTTTTTTTTCTATCCTAAATGGCATGTACTGGTTGTTGAAGATTTTGTAGCTGGTTTGCCCTAGTTTTTATTTATCAGGGGTTTCTGCGACATTAACGGGAGTTGCCATGGAAAGTGATATCCCCATGACTGGTGCCGAGTCCCCTTTGACCCGTAGAAAAGAGAAACCGAGGCTTTTCATAAAGGAAATGGTTATGAAGAATTTCAAATCATATGCTGGGGAGCAAAGAGTTGGCCCTTTCCATAAGGTCAGGTTTTTTTCAGCCACTTTATATTTTATTTTTAGGGTTTATTAGCCATCTAAATTACCATTACTGTTTTAATGCTTCATTTCCAATCTCACCTAAATAGGAATTGTGCAATTTTTTCTTGTTATTCCTTGTTACATTGCGCAAAAGCCACACAAAACAGTCATAGTTCAAATGCACAAAAATCCTAAAAGAAATTTATATGGATATCTTATAGAACTAGTGTATCTCACTTTTCTGTATTTCAATTTGTTGTGCCAAATTTTCCAATATCATAGGATGTGTAATGACCCATGAGCTAAATAAGCAACATTTGTGTACACAGTTTGGATTACATATTGATGTAACTGGTTTTCAAGTGTAAAATATCATATTGGCTTAGTTTTTCTGGAATGAAGAAGTGGGGTCAATTTTACCTTTCACGTTAGTTTTCTTATTTTAATTTACTGATTTATTGGATTTTCAATTCCACATGGAGTGAGTATGTGCAATGAAATGGGAATAAATCCATATTTTTTATTTCTTAATTGGGTCTGCATTTAGGTTAAAAATGCCACTCTTTTCATCACCTGAGTTGGGATATGACTTTAAATAATGCATGAGTGTTAGTATCCATAGAAAAGCTTACCTTTTAAGAATTGAAGTATCAATCCTAATTATTTGTAATCATTGGTTTTTAATCCAGAATTTTATTGTCCATGGTTGCACTATTGTCTGTCTTGGCTGAAACAAACCGGTTTTGACAACGTTCATTTAGACTACAGGTATAGTGCAATTGTATTTATATGGAGCGCAATAAACTACACAATAAAGTGACTTAAGTACTATTATTGTTGTTCTTAATGTGAAATTTCTGATGAATTTGTTGTATATATTATTTCATGATGAATTGTAATGTTTTTACTGACGAATTACCCGGATATAAAATTTATGGGTTATCCTATTGTCTGGTAGTTAATTTTTCTTTTTTCTTTTAATTAATGAACAGAGCTTTTCAGCTGTAGTTGGTCCTAATGGGAGTGGGAAAAGTAACGTTATTGATGCCATGCTCTTTGTATTTGGGAAGCGAGCTAAACAGGTCAGTGGTACTGCAGCTTGGCATGCTGATCTGTTTGCTATACCACTTTTCCTTTTTCTTTTCTTGTACCTTTTTAGTTTTTGACAATGATTTTTTTTTTTGCAATTGCTGAAGATGCGACTGAACAAAGTTTCAGAGTTGATACACAACTCAACCAATCACCAGAATTTGGATAGTGCATGCGTATCAGTTCACTTTCAGGAAATTATTGATTTGGTAATTCTTCATTTTTCTTGTTTTTGCATAGTTGACTGATACAATATTCATTATTATTTTATGGATTTACTTTATTGGAGATATTAATATTAGAAACCACTGATTTAGGCGGCATTTTTATTATATAGTGGTGCCCATATTGGACTCATTTGTTGGATGGACACTGTATTGGGAACTGAAATTCACGATTATAGTTGGTGACATTATGTGGGATTTGAGAGTGATGCCCCAAATTGATGTGGTTCTAGATTTCTTTCATTCCTTTTATTTTTCTAATAGTGTTCTAGAATTTTCCTCGGTGTAAATGTGCATGCATTTATGCAGTTGATCTATTTGATAACAGGAGGATGAGGCTTATGAACCTGTGGCTGGAAGTGACTTTGTCATTACTAGAGTTGCTTTTCGTGACAATTCTTCAAAATATTATATAAATGAACGATCCAGTAATTTTACAGAGGTCACCAAGAAACTGAGAGCGAAAGGGGTGGACCTCGACAACAATCGCTTTCTGATTCTTCAGGTATGTAGGAAGAGTCACCAAGATGCTAGATAGAGTTTGAACTATCACATGTTATTATTGTCTTTGGGGTTTTTCTTAGGGAGAGGTGGAGCAAATCTCACTGATGAAACCAAAGTCCCAAGGTCCTCATGATGAAGGATTTTTAGAATACTTGGAGGATATTATCGGAACAAACCAATATGTTGAAAAGATTGACGAATCCAGTAAGCAGTGAGTCACATAGCTTGAAGCCCATTTTTCTTTTTAACGTTGTGGATTTTCTAATGCTATTTGATAATTGATGCTTTTCACGTAGCATGATGTGTTTAAACACATGCCATTTAGGCTAGGTAATACTAAGTTTCACGATTCTTTGTCCACTGCACTGCCACCCACTAGTTAAATTTGATTTTGACTAACATTGCTGGAATGTAACTGGGATGCCATAGTTTACCACAGGTTTGAGTTGAGTAGTTACTTTATTTACAGCATTCTGCTACGGTGCCACTGAATGAATACAATGCAATATTTATATACCCTATACATCTAGTTTCAACTAAAATATAATATTTAACAGTATTGAGGTTTACTTTTGTCATTAATTATTTGGTATTCAACAATATTTCATCAATGGCATGCACTGACTAATAATATATACAAAATAACTTCATTATTTGTAATATGAGCTGTGCTGTTCATACAAAAAAATGACGTCATCTAGCATCTAGTATCTGGACCTCATTGTATGTATATTGTTTGAAAGTGAGAAGGAAGTAGTTTCTTTGAATTTGTTTAGAATTACCTCAATGGATGAAAGGTTCCTCTGATTTGTACTAATTGCAGTTTATTAGCTTTAGAATATTCCGCCCTTATAGCACCTTGTTCATGAGTCTGATGAGGAATTACCATATTTCTTTTATTCTTTGCTGTCCTGTTAGGCTGGAATTGCTCAGTGAGAAAAGATCTGGTGTAGTACAAATGGTCAAATTGGCAGAAAAAGAGCGAGACAATTTGGAGGTATTCTTTTATGTATATGTATTTTTGCACTTGCTTGCTTATATATAATTGCATCATTATGACCTCTTATATATGATGGCCTAAATGAATTTATCGATTGGTATTTGTACTGTGCAGGATGGTAAGAATGAAGCAGAAGCCTTTATGCTCAAGGAGCTAGTGCTCTTGAAATGGCAGGAGAAAGCTACCAAGTTGGCATCTGAAGATGCCGCTTCTCATGTAGTTGAGTTACAAGGAAAGGTCTCCAGCTTGGAGCAAAATCTCAAGGATGAAAGGTAATAAATTGTTTTACCATCAGAATCAAATTGTTATGCTTTTCCATTACTAAGTAAAACTTGTGGATCCCATTTTCAGGGAGAAATATAAGCAAAACTCTAAAACATTGAAGGATCTTGAGGCTGTGTACAATAAGTATCAAAAAAGACATGAGGTATGCAATATGGTGGATATACAATCATTTCTTGTTATTGTCTTTTGTCTGTTTTCAACAGGCAACCTTTGTCCATGCATGAACAGAGATTTGCACGTCTTTATGCTCTTCACAATAATGTCAGATTTACTCCCCATGATTATGTCATACTGTGACAACAAGTCTTAATAATAGGTGAAATCATGCTTTGAGATTTTGGTGCTCTTTGTTTGCTTACATGCGGACCATGGTTGGTGGAATTTGTATCTACTTGGTGTTGGAAGGCTTTGTTTTATCTCTTCCTTGTTAGAGTTTGCCAGCATTATCATTATTATGGTCTCTATGCAGTATCAAGTTCAGTTCTTTAAAGCTCGGCTCGGAACTCATCTCGGTCCCGAGTCTGAGTTGGTGTCCAACTCAACCAAGTCTCTGAAAATAACAGAGAAGGGTCATGACCCGGTGAGACTTGAGCAAGTCTTGGGTTTTTTCAACCAGACCAGGCATCTTGCCAGGTTCTAGTGGCTCTGGTGAGTCAAAGCCAAGTCACTAAGCTTTCGAACACCGAGCTAGTTGTTTTTTAATATGATATCCTGTTCTGGTCTTTCCTCTTTGCACTTTAACTTTATTCAGGTTGCAGCTTCTCTTGATGATATTGTTTGATTTTTATTAAATACTGGAGAAGATGCTTGGAGTTGTCAAGGCTTGCTACTTGGTACTAATTACTGGTATTATCTGCATTTTGACCTGATGTTCAGGAACTTGATAGTGGCCTCAGAACTTGTAAAGAGGAATTTAAGGAGTTTGAAAGGCAGGATGTGAAGTACAGGGAAGATTTGAAGCACATGAAGCTAAAAATTAAAAAATTAGAAGATAAAATTGAGAAGGTATATTTAGCATTTCTCTATTTTCTTAAATTATTTATGTCATGTATCTAAATTCAAAGCTGTTGGGTTCCAGGATTCTGCTAAAATCAAGGAAGTGGAAAAGGAGTCTGAAGATTCAAAAGAGTTGATTCCAAAACTTGAAGTTGAGATAACTAAATTGTCACAGGTTCTGTCAGAAGAAGAGAAGATTTTGGAAGAAATAAAGGAGAGCTCAAAAGGTCCACCTGTTTCTTCATAAATTTATATCTCCAGCACTAGGTGAAAGAACATGTGTTAAATGTATGGTTGAACGAAATTTTTGGGTCAGATGGTTTTGGATAAAGTTGAATGACATCACTGTCCTCTACCATCTCTATTTTATGTTTTTACGCTTTTCGTTGCCTTGCGAAGGAAGTACAAGTCTGATTGTTTTTTCTTGAGGTTTTGAATTATATTCTCTTAGTTACCTTCTCATAGCTTGTGTTAATATGTATGACCTTTGGTATTTGGATAAAGTTCATCGTGAAAAATATTGGATCTTTTTTCTCTTGATAAGTGCTCTAATCTGTCCTGCTGTGATGAGTATCTTCCCTTTTACACGATACACACTATCTGATCTGTCCTTTTTATAATCTACTACAGGCATTTTACTGCTTTAGCGATAAGATAAATATGCCATGATTGCTACTCAATAAAGTACACCCATACTTATTTATTTTGTTAGGAATTTTCTTTTTTGTTGACATTTTTCGGTTATTTGTCAATTGTTTTGGAGAATTTTTTCCATGTTTAAATCATGGCATCGTTGACTTATGCTATTTCTTTTGCATTGCTATTATACAGAAGAAATCGAAAAATATCGTTCAGAACTTCTGGGGGTTCGTGTGGAGTTGGAACCTTGGGAAAGACAGTTGATTGAATGCAGAGGAAAGCTTGATGTTGCTTCAGCTGAAAGCAAGCTTTTAAAAGAAAAGGTAGGATTTTTGTGATTTTATTTATAAGTTCTATTGTATTGGATGGATTATACATTTGTGTCCATACTGACCTGAACACTAGCTCCCTACTTATTTTATAGCTTTTCTTTTGAATGGGAAATCTCTCTCTCTCTCTCTCTCTCTTCACACACACATATACATATGTAGACCCATACACATGTGCCCAGTGCACACTCGAAGTTAAGGCCCTGTTTGGACAATCTTGTATTTCTATAAAGAAACCAGTGTACCCTTAAATAAGGGCATTTAGTTTTTTCAACATTTGAAAGATCGCCTCAGCCATGGTGCTCGGCTCTTTGCCCTGGCGGGTAACTTGCTGAGTCCGAGTGGACTTGGCCGAGTTTTGCAAACCCCAATAAAATGTAAAATAGTAAAAAAACAAAGGTAAAAATTCTAAAAATCATTAAAAATCAGAAAAAGTTAAAAGAGATAATAAACATCATTAGCACACTGAAGAAGATAAAAAATCCATAAAAAATGGATTATTGATATTTTATCGATACCTTGAATATTTGGAAAAAATAAAAAAGAAGGAAAAGATATGAAAGTTCACAAATCATCTTAGAAACTATCAAAATCATCTAAAGAAATATTTCTAACAATTATATTTTTGTATTTTTTTGACTTTTTTTTAATTTTTTTTAGGAGTTTTTTTTATGCCCTCTGAGTTAGGTACCTGACTTGCCCCCAACTCACTTTGCCAATAGGGTGGGGCTGAGTTACTCAGCTGAGTCCAAATGCACTCGGCCAAGTCCAGAAATGCAAAATGCCGGTCTAGATGTGCTTTTGCTTGGCAGGGGTGGAGGTTGGAGTGGCAGATGGGGAGGGAGGAAGCATTTTGCATTCCTTTCCAAATAGGCAGGAGATAGAAATAGCCTTACCCATGAATAGCGGTAGCAGACCAAAACAATGGCCTTTTCTGCTTAATTATGGGTTGGGGACAGAAACAGGCATATTCCAAAACAAGCGGTCTATCGAAACTGGGCCTTAACTCGAGAAATTATGGCATGTTGTTTAATCATGTTATTTTGCATTAGTAGGCTATGTATAGAAATTGCTGCGACATTAACACCATTTAACATGTATATGAGAGTATCCATTCATTAGTATCAAATGTGTGTCATCTTGCTTGTACCAACTTTCCAAACAACAATAGAATCCATTATAGGAATATAAAAACTTTTCCATCATTTTGCAGCATGCTGCTGGTCGCAAGTCGTTTGAGGACGCCCAACTTCAAATGAATGATATAAAGGAGAAAAAAAGAGTAAAGAATGCAGATGTCCAGCACATTCAAACTGAATTGGATAGATACAAAGTTGATGCCTCTGAGGCTCGAAAGGAAGAACAGGCATGTTTGTATCCCTCTTGCATTTTTCTTTTGGTAGTTGAGCCCTAGTATATTATTGTTCCTTGTTATGCTTCAAAGACAAGTAGATGTATTATAAAACATACCATAATTTAAACAACCAGTCTATTGGGTCATGAACGTTCACAAAAACTGTGGAGAGTGTGTGCCCTGCCATTTGTGCTATGTCCTGTTCTAAACGTTCCCACTCTCTCCTTCACCATCTGTCATTTTCTTGTGGTCCATTGGATTGTGCTGTACTTAGACCTAACTAGACAAACTGATATATGTTACCAGGTTTGTTTGAAGAAGGAAGAATCACTTATTCCTCTTGAGCAAGCTGCTCGACAGAAAGTTTCAGAATTGTCTGCAACTCTGGATTCCGAGAAGAATCAGGGATCTGTTTTAAAAGCAATACTAGAAGCAAAAGAGTCGAAGCGAATAGAGGGTATACATGGTCGACTTGGAGATCTGGGTGCAATTGATGGTGAGTAATGTCTCCTCGTAGTGCTCAATATTATGTAGCTGGCAGGTTTATCCCGATATAAATCCACCATGTAACTAAAATATTGCGTCTTTGCATCCCCCCTTTAGTTCTCATGTATCTGAAAAAATGAAATAGAATTGTTCACTTATTGCAGGGAAGTATGATGTTGCTGTATCGACAGCATGTCCTGGACTTGATTATATTGTGGTGGAGACCACTGCTTCTGCCCAAGCATGTGTTGAGTTGCTTCGAAGGAAGAATCTTGGAGTTGCAACTTTCATGATATTGGTAGTGCTTCTTAATCTTGAACAAAGTACCTGCCCATTCTATTTTTTTGTCTCTTCCACTTAGATTTTGGAGTTTCTCTTTTGAGGTTGATGTTAAGAATTTTTTAACTTTAAAGAGTTGTACGGTATATTAAAATCTTCTAGCGACTTCACCTACTACCTTATCATACCCCATAGTACTCAAATTGGGTAACAACATATACCTTTCTTCTCTCTTCTCATATTAAGGCTCGTTTCAGGAGCTATTGCGCTGCCTACACACCACAGGCTTGAGAACTTGGTGACTGCAAACAGATTAGGCTGTAGGAATGCCTGTGAATGAAACGATTATGTGCACATGGAATTTTTGGGTGACCATGAAAGAACTCTGAGGATTTCAAATTGTTTTTCATGTTGTTCCTTATCAAACTTCTTCTGTTATAACTGTCAATGAGAGTTTGAATCACATACATGTGTTATGCACTTGCTTGATTTTCAATCATCACCATCATCATCAGAGCCTTTTTCCAACTATTTGGGGTTGGCTATACAAACCTTGGTCTGGCATTTTGTTCTATAAAGGAAAAATTACCCTCAGTGAGGTCATAAGTCTCCATATTTTTACTCACTACTTTCAACCATATCCTTTTGGGTCTTTCCCTTGCCCTTTCTGAGCCTTTCACTCAAATCAACTCGCACCTCCTAACATGTTTTGTACTGGACCTGCATCGTAAATGGCCAGCGCACCTAAGTCTACTTTCTCTCATCATATCGCCTATTAAAGCTGCATCTAAATTCTTCCGAATGTTCTATTTCAAATTCTATTCCTTATTGTCTTGCCACTAGCCGACAACATTCAGTAGTTGTCGCGTAAGAAAGAGGAAGAAGCTCCTCCTTATCTATAGAATGACGGTATTCTAGAAGTTCCATCAAGTTGCTTCCAAACTGGTATGTCTATAGAATAACGGTAGCTTAGCTAAGAAAAGGTGGTTTAAAAGGTCCTTATAACCCTTAAGAAGTTGTCGGCTTCTAAATAAGGAATTAGCTTAGCTCCAAACTCTATAGAATGATGGTAGCCTAGAAGGTTCCCTCAACAGCTTGTCGCTGCGAAGCTAAGTAGTAATGAATTGCTCCCCATTTCCTTTGACTTCCAACCAAAACCGAAAGTTCTAAGATAACCATCTTCGATACAGGTGAAGTACCTTTGCCATTTTCACACAGTCCAGCTATTCGCCGAAAGGCAATAGACCGTTGGTAGGGAACCTTCATAGCCTTCCTTGGACCGTGTTCGCCCATTTTTTGGTATAAACGACTTTGTTTGAAGTCTATAGCCTCCTATTTTCAGTCAAGCTATAGTGCTCATCCATCTCAACATCTTCATATCAACTATACTCATCCTATGTATATGTTGTTTCTTGACCACCCAACATTCCACCCCATACAACAAAGCAGGTCTCACAGCTGTTTTATAAAACTTTCCCCTCAGCTTTATTGGTATGCAGTGATCACATAAGACTCCAGTTGCACATTACCACTTCTCCCATCCAGTTCTAATTCTATGTGCGACAATCTCTCCATTTTCCTAGATTATCAAGCCAAGATATTGAAAGCGTGCTCTTTTTGGTATTTCTTGGCCGACAATCTTAACTACTCCTATTGTTACTAAACTTGCATTTCATATACTCAATAAAGACCATATGGAGCTTTCTCTTGATCAATAAAGCTTTATCTAGATCAATAAAGACAATTTGCTTGATTTTCAAAATAGTCAATACTGAAAATAATTTGAGTGTTTTTAACTTCTTAATTTTGGTAGGTTATTTAAAGTGTTAACTGTTTATGTTTAAGCCTTTTTTTCTCTGTTTCCCTGCTGACTGCATTTTCGCATGCTATCTGATTATTGTCATCTTGATGGTCGTTCGATTTCTCATTCTTTTTCAATTAAGCCTTCTTGAGAAAAAGAGCACCATTTGATCCCCTCATCAAGTTTACATGTAAAAATTCTTAACTTTGTAGGAGAAACAACAAAACCATCTACCTATGTTGAAGAAGAAAGCGCAAACGCCTGAGGGAGTTCCACGCCTCTTTGATCTGATAAGGGCTAAGGATGATCGGATGAAGCTCGCTTTCTTTGCTGCATTGAGGAATACTGTAGTTGCCAGTGACCTTAATCAGGTAAAGTGCTTTTGTTGAATTGTCAATGTGATTTTCTTGCACATTTGTTACTCACCTTTGGGGTCAAGATAGTATTCTACCTTGAAGTTATTTTCTCAGTATTCCTTTATCAGAAAAGGATATGGCAAAGCTTAGCTTTCATGTTGGTTATTTCTTCTCACCCAATTTATTCTAGCTTTCATGTTGGTTATTTCTTCTCACCCAATTTATTCTTCCCCATCCCTTTGCAGAGATAGAATGTGTCAAATACTCCTATTTCATTTGTCAAACTCTGAATTTTGCTTTTGTGGGTTTATATATGTAATTTTGAACATTCAAAAACCTTCATTATATGTCTATCCATTGCTTGTTATAGGCTACTCGAATTGCATATGGTGACAACGGAGAATTTCGCCGTGTGGTGACATTGGAGGGTGCTCTTTTTGAGAAATCAGGGACCATGAGTGGTGGAGGTGGAAAGCCTAGAGGGGGACAGATGGGCACATCTATTCGAGCCAGTGTTTCTGGAGAAGCTGTGGCAAATGCCGAAAAAGAGCTTAGTGAGTTGGTCGAACAGTTGAGAAGCTTACGTCAAAGACTTGGTGATTTGGTGAGGCAGTATCAGGCCTCAGAGAAGGCTTCATCTCGTTTAGAAATGGAATTAGCAAAAGCACGAATGGAGGTAGGTTCACTTCATAATTTTAAAGTATGATGTCAGCAGTAGTTTTGTTAGTGTTGATTCTGATATATTTTGTAAGGCACAATGTTGAAAAATTTTGTTTTCCAAGTATTTATTTTTTTAACAGTTTATGAGACTGACGTCACGAAATTCTGCACTTCAACAGATTGATGGATTAAATGCTCAGTATTCTGATATAGAGAAACAGCTTGATTCGTTGAAAGCTGCATCACATCCTAGAAAAGATGAATTGGAGAGACTGGCTGAGCTTGATAAAACCATCGCTGTTGAAGAAAAAGAGCTTGAAAGGCTTCTGAAGGGATCTAAAAATCTTAAGGAGAAGGTGATCAGTTGCATTTGAACAAAGTTTATGTATGTATGTATGTATGTATGTATGTATGTATGTATGTATGTATGTATGTATTTTATGTTTATGTTTATGTTTATTGCCAGTCAAAGATTATTGAATAACGTTCTTGTTCACTGAAGTTTCATCAAAACTTACTTTGTGAGTGAACTTCCAAAGTCGAATAGAGCTGTTATAAAATCATTTATTCCATAAATTTCTGTTCTTGTATTTAATTTCCATGCTCTGGTTATTCTAGGCTTCTGAGCTTCAAAATAAAATTGAAAATGCTGGTGGCGATCGGCTGAAGAAACAAAAATCGAAAGTTGATAAACTTCAGTCTGTAAGTTTTTGTATCTGAAATCACAGTTTTTAGATTAATTTTAGGAGCCTTGTAATAATTTTCTCTATTTCTTTGGTCAGGATATTGATAAGTCCAATACTGAGATAAACCGTTGCAAGGTTCAGATTGTGACTGGTCAGAAAACTGTAAAAAAACTTCAAAAGGCTATTGAAGAGTCAATAAAGGAGAAAGACAAAGTTGCTGATGATAAAGATACGAAGGTAGCTGGATTCAAAGAGGTTGAACAGAAGGCTTTCATAGTGCAGCAAAACTACAAAAAGACGCAAGAGGTACTGAAAAATTTTTCTTCCTAAAATGGCCTTTCTTGGACTAAGAGATATGAATAATGAATGAAATTGAAAAGTGGTTCAAAACCATGGTGCTGGTAAAGATCTAATATCCAATTATTATATGACCATACCCAATAAAACTGATATGGATTGCTTTCAATGCGGGAATCATATTCATAGTGAGTCTGATGAGGAAGAATAACAAGCTTTAACTATATCATCAAAACAATGTGGGGTCTAGTTTCTATGATTGCTATCCTTAATCTGTGGTTGAGTATCACTTATGCTTAATGGTAAGAGCTAAGACAGTTGCTTTCTGCACGAACAGACTTATGTGTCTTTTCACGAACTTAATACAACCAAACCTTCATTTTATGGAAAATGCCAACTTTTATCAACTCACTGAAGAAAATAATAGATAGCCACCTTCAAATTCTAATGCATCATTTGTGCAAGAAATGGACTCCAAGTTGAATGAAATTTTGTCTGCTCAAAACTTAGCAGAGCCAATATTGAATGGTATATATTAAGGGCATTATCTTGTCTAATCAGTGGTCTTGATCACCTCTTTTTTTGGTTATATGTGTTAGTTTGAACTGCAACAGTTAAATCCTAAGCTTTCACCTTTCTACTTTATTGCAGTTCATGATCAGGCCCTATACTCTAGATTTCTTATGCATGGATGGCATGTCATACAGATTATTCATGTTGTTTTTCATATATCCTACAGCTCATAGAAAAACATAAAGATGTGCTGGAGGGAGCCAAGGAGGAGTACAATAAACTGAAAAAGTCCATGGATGTGTTACGAACTGCCGAGGTTTTTGATCTACATTTCCACTTTCATTGTATCTTGTGCTGGATGTTTTTGTGCATCTCTTCCCTCTTAGTCCTAGATAAGAAACACATGTTCTCATATCAAATGTTTGGTTTATTTTGTAGGTGGATATAGAAGATAAATTGCAAGATATGAAGAAGCTCTTAAAAGACTGGGAAATGAAAGGAAAGGGCTACACAAAAAGGCTTGAAGATATAAACAAAGATCTAAATAAACATTTAGATCAGTAAGTATTCCTTAGTTTTTAATTGGGAGAAACAGAGATCTCATGAAATGGATCAGCAGTCTGTATATTATTGTAAAAGATTGGCCTAACATGTTGAATTGTTGACCGTAGAATCAGGATAGATGGTATAGATCCTGCAAAGCTGGAGGTTGCCCTAAATGACAGCACGCTAGCTGAAACTTGTGCTCTTGAAAGAGCACTTGAGAATGTTGCATTATTCGAAGCACAGCTCAAGGAGATGAACCCAAACCTGGATTCCATTCAAGAGTATGACCATATTCACATACCTATGTTCCTTGAGGCACCTGTGCTACACCATACACATTGCTCACCTGTGTCACATAGACATAGCTATTGGCATCTCCTTTCTGAGAATACCACAAAATATGGAGATTGTTGGAGACGTCCAAAATGAGGCTTTGACCACCCTAATATATTGCATCAAACACAAGAAACGAACATCAATCCCAAATGATGGGACAATAACGTGATACATTGGAGTGGCCATAACCTATAATGGGCGACCCGCAACAATCCCGAAAAGTAATATGTATATACACACTCCCATGCCTTTTACTTTTCTTTTTTCATTGTTTTCATTTATTTGTCTGGTCACTCTGTATTTGTTTTGTTCTTTCTATTATGTTCTTGTTTTGCTTTATTGGTTTGTTGTTCAGTTCTTTTTTCTTTTACTATAAGTTTTGTTCAAATTAGTATGCTTTCATCATTTCAAAACCTTCCCCCTTTTTTATAGTTGTTTCCATTTTTTAAATATAATCTTACATTTATACTTTATTTTTTCATAGATTATTGCTTTTTCTATATCATGGTCGTTTTCTTCAACACACATTATCATATCTAAGCCTCTTAGCATGAATGGAGTTGCTTTTACATTCACAGGTACCGGAGAAAAGCCTCTGTATACAATGAACGTGTGGAGGAGCTAAATGCTGTGACCCAGGAACGTGATGATCTGAAGAAGCAGCATGATGAACTCAAGAAAAAGCGGCAAGTATCATTGTCTTCTGAAAATATTTCTTCTATAGCATTTTCTGTAACTTCTCTCGTCTATTGTCAATTATGGAACTTGAACTTGATTGTGTAAGTACAGATTGAATGAATTCATGGAAGGATTCAACAAAATATCTCTGAAGTTAAAGGAAATGTACCAGGTAAAACTTTTATCTATTTACTCCCTGTTAGACATTTGCTAGAAATTTTATGCTTCTTTCTGGGAAATTCCACATGCTTCTTTTTTTAGAATGGCTACTTCTCTTATTGAAATCAGTCTACCAATAAAGAGAAAGCTTTAGTTGCTTGGGTTTCCTCTTCTTCTCTGTTATAAATCGTAAACTTGCAATTTAGGTTTGTTTGCTTTATTTAATATGTAAATTTTACAATTAAGTTTTGGTTAAATTTTAATCTTATTCATAGTACTACACCACGCAAGCTTCCTCTTTCATTTGTTTGATACAGGTGAACACATGTACACTGAAAAATGTGCATCTGCATGCTAAAAATTTATGAGTATCATGTTTCAGATGATCACCCTTGGAGGGGATGCAGAGTTGGAGCTTGTAGACTCTCTCGATCCTTTTTCTGAAGGTGTGGTTTTTAGTGTCCGGCCTCCTAAGAAAAGCTGGAAAAATATCGCTAATTTATCTGGAGGTGAAAAGGTAAAATAGAGTTATTGCTTCTCAATAAATTAACAAATTGCTCCAAATCTCTCTGAATATAATACTCTTTGATGTGTTTTAAGGGTGCAAATTTCATCGAATTTCAGTTATAAGAATGTGAGTAACCAATTTGTAATGTTGATTTTGATTTCCAGACATTGAGCTCATTAGCTCTGGTTTTCGCACTGCATCACTACAAACCAACACCGCTTTATGTGATGGATGAAATTGATGCAGCCTTGGGTATGTTCCTTGGAACTCCCACCTATGCTTTCTTTGTAGGGTTTAGTCTTCTCCCTCTTTTCCTTACTGTGATATTATGATGATGTTCAGATTTTAAGAATGTGTCCATTGTGGGTCACTATGTGAAAGACCGCACCAAAGATGCCCAGTTCATAATTATAAGGTAGCCTCTCTCTCTCTCACACACACACACATTGAGACAAATGCATCAGCACATAATTATATTCATTTGTATCATCCACAGTCTGAGAAATAATATGTTCGAGCTAGCGGATAGACTTATTGGCATTTACAAAACGGAAAACTGCACGAAGAGCATCACTGTCGATCCAATGAGTTTTGCGCTTCAAGGGGGAGCTGCTTGAGATTTTGATGGAAGTGACATGTGGGGAGTCTCTCTCACCACGTCAATACTGATATTGTGCAGGAGAGAGAGAGATCAAGGTTGTATCTTGGAAGTGTACAACATTTTGTTGACTGAATTATTCCTCTCTCTCTATCACTCTATTTTAATGCTGACATTGTGTAGGCTACTGCTCAGCATGGAGAGAGAGAGGGAGCTTCCTTCTGTTAATGCATTACAATGTACACCTCTCTGGTGACTAGTTTCACAACATTAGGTTGAGTGAAACAAATTTCATGTTATTAAGATGCATATGATTGTCCTTATTGTCAAAACATACTAATGATTTGCTCCTCTAAAATAGAAGAACCACAGGCTTGATAAAGCCATATTGCTAGGCATATCACATGACTATCTGTATCAGCCATAGAATAAAGCAAGCAACTCTCTCTCATCATATCTGTCCAAAGCAATCATCACAAACTAAAATGGAGAAAGAAACCAAAAAAAGGAATGTCATTGAAACCAAGATTTCCGGTTTGTTTTCATAGAAGCTCTAAAACTCTGTTTCATCTTCATCATCTAATTTGTACTCTTTAAGGAGTTTTTTGCAAATTGGAAGCGGTTTTTTCTTTAAAAATGCAAGGGGATTGGCATATCGGTCCTATGGGATGATGTCATTGTTGCTTGTTAAGAGGATTCGGGCTCTGTTTCTTCCATGGAGTATCTTATTGCAATCGGACACTGCTAGTAATGGCCATGACTTTGAATAATTCATTTCTCGTGATTACCTTCAACTGGGATTCAGTAATTTTTTGTCTTGTCTGTCACACCCTCAATGCTGTATATGACGTGCCTGCCTCCCTATCCTTGCATTCTATTCTCACCCTGGCAGCTGCAAGTCGCCACCAGATTCAGTTATTTTGGTTTGAATTCTTTCTTAAAAGCCTAGTTCCCCATGCTCTAGCATGCATCTATTGAGCCACGCAGTATCATAACAAAAAATTCTCAAGTCACAACACACATGCCATTTTCACCCTTAAATGAAGAAACATAGACTCATTTTTTTACCATGAGTGAAGCTCTCTCTGTGGTAAATGAATAAAGCTCAATGTGTGCGTTCAGATACAGGTATGAAGAAATGATACAGGTATGATGAAATGAAAGTCTCACACTCTAAGCTCATACCAGGAGAGACTCATACCCTCTCTCTCTCTTTCCCACCTGCACTCGAGCCGCTAACAAAACAAATTCATAGTCACAACCCATACAACTGATGCCATAATCAGCCTCAAATGAAGAAATGTATACTCTCTAACTCAAACACAATACACCTCATTTTCCGTCATGATTGAATCTCTCTCTAGAACAGAAGCAATTGAGACTTGGGTTACTTGGTAGGTAGGTGGAGGAGGCATGGCTCACTCCCAAAAATCCTAAGAAAAACAGCAGCAAAACACCTTAATTTTTCCATTTCCTTCTCTCTTACAAGTCAAAGAGGAAGAGACTGCGGCAAGGTTTTACAACAAGGCTTTTCAGTCATTGAGAGAGAAACAACGCTCCATTTATGTGTTCTTTGTCTTGTTTTAGGACCTGGAGGGCCACAGTTGCCTCCTAACCGTTTTATATTCATCATGCTTGCTATATTTGACTAAAATTGGAGAATCTTCTCTCCACCTCTTTGATTAAAGGGAAGCCTAGATACATGTGTTCGCGCGTGTGCATGTGTTTGTCATGGAATGATTAATAGGTGATGGTTAGCTTACATCTAACCTTTTGATTTTGATCTGTTGGCCAAACGCCTTTGGGTTCTAAATTAAGGAACTCAATGAACTGCACGGGATGGGAAAGGAAAAAGCCATAAATCAAACACGGTTAACTCATAACTCTGGACGCTCTCCGACCTAGTTAAAACTGGTCTGACTGGCCTGACTGTGGTGAAACAAGAACTTTTTTTAAATTTTTTTTTATTTTTTAACAAATATGAAATATTAAAAAATTACTCTTTTTTTGGCTGGTCAAACCAATAAAATTGGCCCTTCGACCCACTAAACATTAATTTTGACAAGTTTTTTATCACATTTGATTTTTATTTACTATCCAAAGCACTGATTAGCGATCTGATTGGTTGGAGCAATTGTTGGTATGGTTTTAATATCTTTGCAAAGTAATGTGTGTGAAGAGGCATTGAAAGGTTCCCCTAAATAAAATGGTAAATCTTTTTTCAAAAAACACTCGGGAAGATTTTTCTCAGCATGAACTTGTGGGTGATTTATAGGAAAATTTTGCATGGTGTTATGAGTTTTCCTGTTGGAGTGCCTAATATAACTTTTAAGAAAAAAAATCCGACATATAGCGTTAAAAGACCTAAGATAATATATTTGGATATTTATGTGCAAGATGTGTTAGGCAATTCCAACAAATTATTTTGAATAAAGTAAAAATAGCTTTGCAAAAAGGTAAACTCATGTGTAAAACTTCGTAAAAGTTTATCTCAAATATATGATTTATTTTATTGAAACAGTGAATTATCAGTGATAATAAGCATATCCAAACAAACCCTTACTCTTGCCAACCCAAAACATATAAAAAAATCATAATATATACATGCCTTAGACAATCACTTAAAATACAATAATTATAATGATGATGATATGACAATGATGATAATATTTATATAAAACCAACTAGCTAATGACATCTAATAATACCAATGATGATGATATGACGATGATGATAATATTTATATAAAACCAACTAGCTAATGGCATGTCCAAGGTGCCATGTTTGGAAAAATATGAACTTTTAAGTTTTTTGAAATAATATTAATCTATCTAAGAAATCCGTGTATTACTCCACGTTTCTCCCCGTTTTATTACATTCATAAAATGTTGTTATGTTAATGTATCTTCAATTTATTACGTAAGTTCACATGACACTTATTTACTACCTCACACATTTATTTAGAAATTTTCTCAGATATTGAAGGATCATTCATTACTCGACAAATTTTTGTTTTATATGGAGAGAATTTATCTAGAAATTTTAGTGAAAACCATCTTGAGATGCATGGTTCCACTTACAAAAACTTAGATAAATTCAAAAGACACTCCACTTTTAAGAAAATTGCAAGGGAAAAAAGTGCACGAAAATGTCAAATGTAGCACTCCTACTTTTCTCTTTTTACTAAGATCAATAGATGTATAATAGGAAAGTGTTATTTATCAATTTTACAGCTCGATATCATTTCCTGATATTAATGTGAAGATTTTTCTATACTAAAATCTATTTACTAATTTGCATTCCAAGTATTCTAAAGAAAACGATTTGAGTGTTGAAGCTTCTTCATGGAAATTTGAATTGTGTTTTAAAAAAGATAGGCATCAGCAATTCTCATGCCTGGGAATGTTATGGGGCTTTTACCATTGTTACTTACCTGGAGAACCCCTTTCACATTTTAGATAGCTTTGGAACTGCTTTCCCATGGATAACCAAGCTATAATAGATAAGTCTAGATAAGTCTTTGGTCTGTCGACTCGTGCATATACAATTTAAAAAAAAAACAAAAAAATGACTCGTGTTTATACACTACTCGAGCATTTTAGGACCTAAAGCACTCACTGCAAATTTATTTCCTCTTCGTCCATGAATTTGGAATTCCAAATGTAGCATAAATCGGAGAAGTTATAAAAAATCCAAATGGAGGGTTCAAATACATGGTACAAAATTTTAAGGTCTAGGTGGATACACCCAAATAAGTGCATCCAAGGGCGCATCTAAACCCTGTCGATAATAATAATAGGCTCTATACTAGTTTAATCATGGCTTCGTAGAACACCAAATTTGCTAGAATTGGAACCTTTAACCATTCAGTAAGAGTTCAGCTAACTATTTTTAAGCTTAAAAGTTGTAGAGTTTATCTAAAGGGACCAAATATATTTGAGAAATTTATCAAAATACATATGCTGTGTAGCATTTTACATTATTTCTATCCCAACTAATGATCTTTGCCTTTTTATGGGTATTTTCAAATTAAATTAAGCAAATAGGTACAATGTTAGATAGTTCATCTCATACAGGAATCGATAATTTTCTCTATATTTAATTGTGCCCACAATATTAGCTTCTCTTTTAATTTGAGATCAATTCCAATAGCTCTTGTATGGAGGGGAAGTCATGAAAATTGAAATTATACCATAACAACAATCAAAGGAAAAATAATGAATAATTAACAGGAAAAAGAACTCAAAAACTTTAGGACGAGTATTGTGATATGATGACCCCAATTAATTGAGAAAAGACTATGATAATGATGACAGATTGTAACATTTCTCAAGGCAATGAAGTTAGTGAGAGTCGAAAAGGAGGGCCTTTTTGTACCTAAAATGCACCTTCAACCCACTCAAAGCAAAGAACTCCAAACTCTTAATGCATTTTCATCCCACTCAAGAGCATTGAATGGCTTGAAACTTCCTAAACCATTCTCCACTGAACTACAAAACAATATTAGTCAAACAAAGGCCCCAAACCCCAATACACACATAATGCGATAGGAAACAAATGTGTATGTCCTATTGGAAAAAATAAAACCATTTGTATTTGGTAAAAAAAGCTACTATTAAGCCATTGAATGTGGAAGAGGTACACCAAAGGTCACCGATTGTTCTCGACATTCGAGAATTTTTTCAAGCTTTGTGCTGACTAATATAACAGTTAAGAGTGATTCTGACTTTTTTTTTTCGTAGCACTAAACATTCAAAAATTTTCTCAAGCTTTATGCTGACAAATATAACACCTTATTAAACAATGGAGGCTAAAGGTGATTCTAAACTTGTTGTCAAGTTCCATAGTGTATATATCTATACAAATCCCAGGTTTACAAAAGAAATTTAAGGTGAAACTAAAATTTTGAAAGAGCTCTCTACCCCTTCTATAGAACCATGATGCAATTATTGTGGGAGATGAATAGCAACTTAAGGGGAGAGTTTAGACCACAGTGGGATTCGAACCCACAACCTCTTGATTCGAAATCAATCGCGCTATCCGTTGCGCCATGCGGTCACATAGTCGGAACTTGGCCGAGGAAGAAGATAAAATGCAATGAAAAGGAGACCATGTTATACATAGGAGACCATGTAGAACAAAATGAGGCTTCCTCTAAAATTTTTAAGCCAAGAGACCACAAATTATGCATTTAATCCCACTAGAACTCCAAATTCATGAACACATGCTAGAAGCACAAATGGAAGAAAGACCCCAATGTAAACCATAAGACTTAAAATGGCCCAAGTTAGAACCTCTATGCTTACATATGAATTCTTGGTATGTAAAATATAATATATTTAATTTACTACATGTACTACTACATATTATAGAAGACAGAATTTATGCAAAAGTGTGAAATCCTTGTTTTTTGTTTTGTTTCTTCAAAGTACATCCAAAGCTCCAATAACTTGCCTTGCGATGTTAGGCTTTAACTAAAAGGGAACCAAGCACCTCACATAAGACCATGATAATTGTGCCCTCAATCAAGATTCAAGAATGAAACAACCAAAATCCTTGTTAACACAGCAAAATAAAAAATAAAAAATAAAAAATAAAAATGTAGTCAAGGACAGTCGAAGTCGTTTTGAAAATCACCTACCTTTGAAAATTCCAATGACATGAGAGTCCAGGACATTTCGAAAAATGGGACAAGTTTGAGATTTGAGTTAAGGTGGTACAACGTTCAACCATATGTTTGTGGTGGTAATTGTTTTGCAAAATTCATTCATTTAACCAGCACTCTCTGTTCTTTCAGAGCATTACTTCGGTATGAAGGATACAGAAGAAACAACCATTATAGAAAATCCTTCACTTAACAGGCCCAACAATAAATGGAAACGGTTTGCCTAAAACAATGTTGCACTTGTCCATTTTATAATATGATTGAGCTTTTCAAATTTACAAAAAAAAAAACTTCCAGAGATTTTCATGGAATTTCTCAAGACCCAAACAGATATGCCAAGTCCTTCGGTGTTCTGTCCAAATTCGAGAGTCCTCAAAACTCATGGGATAGGCGAGCTGAATTTGCACATTTTCACTAAACTATTAACATTCAATCATGTCATCGCAGATAACTCTCGCGCTGCGTAGCTTGGAAACCTGTTTCAATGGTTTTCGGAATGTGTCGACCCACCAAGGACACAACATTTGCGTCATGAGGCTTTGAAACTTAAGACACTCAAGCTGACAACCATTTTTGTTGAAATGTCCATTCCAAAGTAGCTAATCTCACCTATAGTCCATATGCCCACCCCTTTAAAGGATGTACGCACTTGTCGTATCTAAAAATCTAATTCTGGGTTAGTCGTTTTTGACACGTATCCGTGACAGACACCAACACCGGTACCCAAATATTTGCAACATGATTCCAGGCCCCGAAAAATAATCTTAATATTTTTTTTCCTCTATTTAACAACAGCCCAATTAGATGAGAATGTGTTTCCATGTGTTATGTATATATCTATGTTACGCACCACCATAGTGCGTCGGAGGAGGCCACAAGGTGCAAAATTAAAGACGAAATGCGTTAGATAGTTGGGCCGCAAGATCGAGGAGAAACAAAAAGGCAAAAAGCATATGAAATTTCCTGTTAAAAGAAACAAGAAGAAACATACCGTGCTGTACTCATGCTGGAATGTCTCTCCTATTGCACCAAAATCTCCTGCATAAACAAAACGCATCAAAACTTGCATAGGTAAAGGCCCTATGCCCCCACAAATGAATACAAATACTCAGAGTACTAAAAATTTTATAGGTGTCGTGAGCCTATTTCTTTTTTTAAAAAAAATTTCTTCTCTCACCCTCAAAACCTCAATTGAAACTCCAAAGATTATGGGCATTTCTCAATTCCCATTCCGGCTGGAAATTGTGGGTGAACTCTCTTTTAGAGAGAGAGACCCATCTTTATAAATCATTAAACGGGGGGACCTCTACCAAAAGGGTGCATGGATTGTCCTATTCAAAACCCATTGTGGAGCAAAGAAACCTCAGTTCGCTGAAAAATGAACAAAAAATCACACGTTCTTTACAGACAAGGCAACATGATGAACAGTAATTATAGCAGCTTGAAGAATAAGGAAATCGAATCCGTACAAAAATGAACTTTTTAGAGAAAGCCAGAGAGAGAGAAACTGCACGTTCTTTAAAGATAAATAAGGCAAGCACCAATGTGGAAAACACCTGCGTTCTTCGATTTTTGTATTCTGGACCACCAAAACCCTTGTTCAGTTCCCTGGATTTATGGTTTTGCATCTAATTCATGGTTTTCCTTGTTTTCCAACTTAGAACATTCACACACCAACAATGCCAAGTGAACGGAATGCAACTAAAATGTAACAGTTTTGAAAAGCAACCTGGATCGTGAAACTACACCGTAGAAATAAATCAAGGTTAACTACCGGATTTAACGCAAAAAAAAAGGAAAGAAAAGAAAAGAAAGAACCGACAAAAAGCCCAAGTTCAGGAAGCACGGAAACAATTATATTGAACAAAGAATAGCATGAGTAAGCATGTTTCTTACACATAAATATTCCAACATATTAGCAGAGTGAGAAGCCCGGGCCTGTGCGTTTTCACGCAGCCAAATAGGAAAATGTCTGGTATAGTACTAGTGAGAAAATGATGCACATCAAACAAACATTGGACGGTCCAGATGTGCACCCATGTTCCCCAATGGTTTAAACGAGCCGTACAAACCGAATCTGGACCATCCCTTTGAGAAGCTTATCTTCTTTATATATAGAATAGGAAGGCGTGAACAAAGAGAGAACTCATCTGCAGCTAGTGATCTCCCAAGCACGCAGAATCAATCTTTGACCTTATTATTTGTTAAAAAAGTACCCCTGAAAAAATAGCCCAAGTTAATTTTTTAGCACAAATCCAATACCAAGAGGGGCTAAGTTTTTTTTCGTACAGGAAGTAGAGATCTCACGGTAGCAAATAATGTCATAACACATCAATAGAATCAGTCATACGATGTGATTTTTCGTGCCCAGGACCCAAGTATTATCAAATTTGAAACACACACAAATGCACACAGAGGGCAGCATCTACCAGATCGAAAGAGACAAGACGACAATGAAGAAGACGATAGCATTAATCTGTCAAGGCAAAAGTTTATACAGAGCTGAGGCTCTAAACAATCAAATTAGAGCCCACCTCAAAATTTTCACTAGAAGAGGTTGTTTTGATGCCCAAACATCCTCAAATTGATCATCTTGATATCAAGATGCATGGACATGCGAAAACAATGGATTTCAAGTTTTCGAAATAATGCATCTTGAAACGCATTTTTAGACTGTCAATTTTTAAGTTTCATAGATATGCTCGATCTACACTATTTTTGAAGCTTTAAATTTTATAATTAAAGATGAAAATATATTAAGGCTATCACAAAGATTTCCAGTATTGAAACCACATTTCTCTACACTATTTGAAGGGGCGCTTTACTTTGATTGTTTAGAGCCTCAGCTCTATACAAACTGCACCCATCAGTCGATCATATGAAGCAAATAAATTTGGATTCCTTAATAGTCAGAGCTATTGCATTCAGCTAAAAAGCTTTTCATAGTCACTTTTGATCAACTTCACATCACAGTTTAGAAAAAGGCATTCATGAAATATTTAGATCAAATGTACCCTTAACAAACAGCTAAAGTAAATGGAAACATCAGCAGTTCCTAACACAACAGATATCTTCATCAGCAAATGGAGCATCATTTGAAAATATAAACTAAGTCTGACCGTAACTTTCTTACCAGCTTATAAACTAGTAGGAACAACAAGAGACCTTCCAGGTACAAGGCTGACCACAGGTAAGATTTTTCTAATTCTAAAAATTGGAAGCTACAAATATGAAGAGAAATATATGGCATAATTCAAACTCCTTACTAATTTTGACTAACCTCTAGCTTTACGAGGTGAGAACCACCATGAATGTGAATTTTAGAGTTTACTTCAGATCCACACAAACAAGTGTTCAGCTTTGGGACATGAGAGATTTAATGAAACCATCAAGGTGAATTCAGAGTTTAATTGCAATCCACAGAATGAGTATATCAATGAGCAAATAGAAGAACCATGTTTCTGACTTACATTCATGGATGGTCAGATACATAGAGAAGGGAAAATCACAAGGTAATTTTGACCATGATTGCCTCCTGAGCTAACACTAAAATGCTCCCACTGAGAATAAAAGTTAAAAGTTGGGTACTCCATTATGTGAAAGCCAATGCTGCTTTCAAAGAAAATAGACATTCAGTGCTTGTAAAGCTGAAGCCCGTCCAAAAATGCAAGCAACACAATGAACAGGTGTGGCCATCAGGAATATTAGAAGAAGGAAATGAAGCCGCCTACAAAAAGATGAAACAGAAGTGATAGAACTCAACAGATGGTTGCAGCATCAGCAGCCCATTTAGGACTCTACTTCTTTTTGTTTTTTTTCGAAGTGTAAAAGAGAAAACGTAAAAGTAATTGGTTCACACGTCACATAGTGATACATGCTGAAGGCTGCACACCCCTGAATACAAAAAAGTGTCCTTTGGAAATTTTTGGCTCGTGGCATGAGAAGTAACGCAGAATCTTGATGCAAGCCACGGTAAACTCCCACTTGGATATGTAACGGGTGTGGTTTATATAAAGCAGCTGCATTAAACAATCGAAGTAAAGCACACATCCAAACACTGTCGGACAATACAGTTCTGATGCTGAAAACTTTTACAATCCGCCTGAAAATCTGTTTCCACACCTAATTATAGAATTTTAACTCTCCAAAATGGCGCGGATAGAGCAAATCCATAAATACTTGAAATCTTGAAAATGGATGATCTAGATAATATGTTAAAATTAGAGTGCAATCTCGAGATGATCAATTATAGTGTTTTACAGCATTGGAGCAACCCTTTTTGATGGGTTTTTTAGGATTGCCTCACTTCTGCAATATAAGGTAAACACCTTACATAAAGGTTCCCCATATGTACAATACAATATTTTAACAAATTGTTTGATTATCAAAATAAATAAAATGCAAAACAATTAGGAATATAAGTAATCAAACAACTTTGGGAACACGAGAAATAAAGGAAAAAGAAAAACATTTACTTGCATCTCCTTATTGCATCAAATTCTGTAACCCATTCCATACATTGTTATTATCATACACTTTCATAAGTAGCATGCTCATAACATAGGGGAAAACAAAACCACCTAACAATTTACACCGATAATTATATTTTGAAACCCATAATTGAACAAAGATTGAAAATTAGCCTCCAATACTAAAACACAATAAACTAGAAAATGTAATATGTACATATGCAGTCCCCCATTTTTCATCCATATGAAGAATGTCTAATGATGGAGAACTAAGAAGAAAAAAGAAACACACTGCAAATGGAATGGAGAATCTCAATAGAATATAAAAGTGTCGAACCTTAGTTTACTCATCATAAAAGACCCCAACCTTCCAAATTCTTAGCGCCATATTTTATTTTTTTTGAAATAAGGAATTGGACTTGGGTCAAGACGATAGAGGCTGGGTTTTCATAGCACGTCTCAAGCTTCATTCCCATGTAACCTTGTCAAAAAAACATACTTTTTTTTTAAATAGTCAATGCATAGTTCAATAATGACATGGATGATCTTCTTTTAGGGATCTAACTTCACCCACTTATGTTTCTTCATTGACTTTTATTGATGATCAAGAGAATATTGAGGCATAATTCAAATGTAACTGATGCGGAGAGACACCAATACATGTGGACCAGAATTTAAGGAGGCGAGATGTCATGCTCAATGTTCCCAAATCAATCTGGCCACACCTTCTATGTAACTCAAGTACTAGCTGGCAATAGAGCACATGCTTCTGCCAAAATAGAATGGAAAAAAAAGCCCAGTAAAAACCTTAAGAACCTTTGATATTAGTAAAGGTCTATCTTGGTTCATGTCATGGAAACCTCCAAAGAAGCACATGACAAATGTAAGAAACAGTCAGACTCCTCTGAGGTACATTATCAGGCTAATGAGGCAGCTGTTTTTTGTCTAGGATGGGTAATAGCTACTCCACAGTCAAAAAATTGAGTGCCTTATCTCACAAGTGCTGCTTCCTCAATATATAATGGCCATGGTTGTACTTTTTTTTGTCCTTTGTTTTTGTACTTCCTTTATGTTCAATGAAGAAAAGTCAAGATCCTAATGTTCTCCCACCCCCACCCCCCAAAACAAAAGCTCTAGATGCCAATCAGAAAAAGAATTTTGAAACTCCAAGTGTCAAGTTGAAGTTATCAGATTCAAATAAAAAAGTGTCAAGTAACTAATATAAGTACAAAGGTCATAGGTGCAGGATATGTCATCTGTAAACCACTATTTCTAATGAATCAAACAGGGAAAAATTGCAGCAGCCATTTTAGACAGGCAAGATTTCTTTCCTCTTCCATAAAAACAAATACATACAAGAATTGCACTACAATGTGATAATGTGAGATACATCATGAAGCAGAAGCTAAACTATAATATTGTGATGGAACTGAGATGCAGCCAAAAAGAAAAAAACAGAACAAGATACAAAGCAATTTGGCCCCACCCTACAACTATCTGTTATGGAAAAACGTTCCCAGAAGTTACATTAGAAACATAATATTACAAAATAGACAACACACCATTCTCAACAATCAAACTACAATTAAATAACATGGAATATATGAAGGTAGGAAAAGTAAAATCTTAACTATCATTACAAATGAAAGTGATGATGTAACAGATTTTAAGAATCAAGGATATACCTCTAATTGGCAAGCTGTCAATTGCTATTATAATCAGCAGTGGTACAACTGTAGGAGCCATTGAGCTGAAAAAATCATCAAAAAGTACCAGATCATGCATCAACATATGAAGCACCTACAACAAAATTACACCTCCCAAACGAATAAATAATCATGATACATACCAGGGCAATTTCTAACAGATTTGCTTAATTCAGAGATCCGCGGCACCTGAAGCAAGTAGAAAAAGGACATGTTAAATATGCACCATGTCACAGCCAAGCCTCTACTGAACTAAACGAGTGAGCCCAATAACTCATGTGTCTGCCCCTATTTCAAGGGTTTCAACCACATCTTAAATCGTCTAAATCAGTAAATCCATTTCCGCCTCAGATCCATGAATTTGGAGCTCCAAAAATTGATTAGATCTGATGCTCTTTGAATAATTGAATTTAACAGTCCAAAGGAAGGGTACAAGATGGACCATTTTTAAGGCTCAAACTTCTTTTTTTTTCTCTCCCCCAGATTCATGATCTTAGTGGTTGAGAGCATTTATCCGTGAAGCACTGGATCCTCAATCCATCTCCAGTATGGATTTAAAAGGGTGAACTCACTAAGATAGGGGCATCCAGGATCACATCTAAACCCCTAACCTAAACAAAATCCGTGAATATTATCAAGCCATTAACAAGAAAGCAGTATGTATGCAGTTCAAATAAGAATATCACATAGATATAGGCAATGGCTGTGAAATGAAAACATCTAGGCTTGCTTACCGCTTTGAGCCACAATTGCATGGGATCTTTTTCTCCTCTCGTGGAAATTTGTAGTCGTAAGTAATTTCCTCACCAGCAGAGATCGCCCTTTTCGAATAGACAAAGATCTTCTTTTGACTCTCCACCGTTATAATTTTGGTATAGCAGTTAGGCTGAAGATAAATAAATATATCAAAAGAGCATAACGGAGACAAATAGTGTGAAACAAACAAAGATAAACATGAAAATCACCTCGCATGAATGGTTTATGAACCTTGCTATTCCGCCACACTTGGTAGCATCAACCTGCACAAATCCCAGAAAACAATGCACACATAAATGAAATACTAGACATGGAACATGCAAAACGGAAAATTGACTTGAACTGAATTTCTGGATCATCTTAAAAGTGAAGTTCGCACTCAAGCATGCAAAAATGATAACCAATTCTGAAGACATCCGAGGTATACTTCTTATAAAGTGATAATGACAAGCCATTGAAAGACGCACACGATTTCACTAGCATCTTCAACACATAATTGTGATGCATTTAATTTCACATTTGGCCGATCTCACTGGCATCTTCAACACCTAGTCGTGATGACAGTCCAACCTCAGGGCACAATATTTCACCAAAACTCATGTAACAATCAACTGTCATATCTCAACACTCCCAGAATAAGCTACTCCGATAAAAGATATACTCAGCTTTTAAGGGAAAGAAAAGACATCCTTTGGAGGTAAGGAAGTCATTACTCACCACATAACCATCATCAAGCCTAAAGAGATAGCTACTACCAATTCCCATTTTCTCGTACTGCCGCTCTCGTATATCAGATACCTGCAAGGTACATGTAAAAATGAGTAGAAATGGAAAAAAGATCATGAACAACTAAAAAAAACACATACAGCAATTGAACAGACAAAGGATAACTACATAATACCAAGATAATATTCATATAAACAAGTACTGCATTATGAAAAGATCTTCAATATCCAAGATAATCTACCTATTAAGCCTACAAAACACTGATATTTATGTCTTAAAATGGAATATTAAAGACCAGGGATAACCACTGGGAGTCTAGGACAGCCCTCTTAATAACAAAGAAGGCGCCTTATATATTATTGAGCAGCAACTAAATAACCTATACTAGGAAGATGCCTGCACCACCCTTTGTACAATATCATCACTTTACCAGAAAAATATCAGAGCTCATGTTAAACAACATGCTCATTCTATCTGAATTACTAAAGTATTTTTAGAATGTAAAATACTTAATCATAGAGAACAAGAAGTATTCTAGAATTCTCCAACACTTCTTGTAATTGAGGATATAATTGAATGGATGTTTGCCACGCTTAGAAGTGGCACGTGGGACATGCCGAACAGACTGAAACCCCAGACACATTTGAACAAAAAAAAAGCATATAGACAATATGGACCAGTGGAATATACCCGAGGACGAATCAACTCCCCCACGTACTCAATCACAAAATCCTCCGCTTCTATGGGCTCGAGGGCAACTAAGCCCCAATCGTGTATCTTGCTTCTTTGGAAACGAAGACGTTTTTTCCTAGCCTGAACAAACACAAAACCAACATCAAAATGAATAGAATGTAATGCAGCTAAAGAACTAATGCAATGCACCACTCTAACTGTGTGTTCTCTTACCTTCAACTGAGTGATTCTTAAAAGTTCAGCATCCTCAACCGCGGCTACAAGATTACGAAGCTTAACCCTGTTTGTTCTTGCAGATAGGCCCTTGTTGTTCGCAGATAGATTTAAACTATCCCGGGCACCAAAGTATTGAACTGGATCGAATTGTATCCCTCTTACTCGGGCTCTCTCGGAAGGAGAGGCATTTTGGGACCATCTGTGCCACTCCCAACCATTGATGGAACACCGAGCACAACCATGTGATATAGGGCATGAGTTTGATGATTTAACTTTAGAGTTTGTCGTCCGCAGTGACAGTTGTTTGCATCGAGCTTTCTTAACACCATTTAAGAGTGGTCGCTTCGAATTCTCCTCGATAGTTGATGTGGCCATGGAATCAACCAAAATCTTCTTATTCAGCTTCAACGCTTTAGCTGCCATGTACAAAACATCGATGAAAGTAAGCAAGCCAATGGACGTTTCCAAGAAAAATATCAGGTCATATTGACAATGCAATCAAATGCCAATCAACAAACACATATCTCAAGGGGATGTGAGATTTTAAGTGATAGAGTGTACTTCTGTTGGACTGATGCAGAACAACTTTATCCCTCGGAAGTGTTCCATGGCCATCCATATCCTCTTCGACTTGATTTGCCGAATTACCAGCAAGCTGGTCATCTACATTGTCTTTTGACCTCTTCATACTAGCATTACATGGTCCAGAATCAAGAGGAAGATCTGAAGGCTTTAGAGAAGTAGGTAATTCCAAGGACGAGGTGAGTTCTGACATAGCATCAACAGTTTGAAACTTAGATTTCTTCCTCCTTGAAAATTGAGCAGTTATTTTTCTTGATGATGAGCAATCGAGCAGAATTATTTCTTTAGAGGATTTGGAACTCTCAGAATTCGCAATGGATTTCACTTTCCATTCAGCTGTCTTCTGTTTTAAGAGATCCTCATTTGCACTCTCTGTCACTGCCAATGTAGAAACTGGTCCAGGAATCTGACTTTCCATACCCATACCTGAAGGTTGCTCTTGTTCGATCATGTTTGGTGATGCCATACTCTGCAAACAGGAGGCCAAACGTTTCCTTGGGAGCCTCTTTCTCTGAGAGTTGCTGTTTGAGCCAATATCTGCAGATAATTCGGAAGATGGCCCAGAAATTGTTCCCTGCTTTGATTGCTTGGTCAGTTCCTGCGATAAGGTAGGGTAAGTGGTAGATTTTACTTTTCCAGTAACAACACTTTGATCCTAGAAGGTGCATATCACACAATTTTCAGATATGGATATCGTAACCCACACAATAATATAAATGCGGAGAGATTTTATGCATAAATCAAATTAACCGGTATCATGTTTCCTATGAGAAAACATAAATGAAAATACCTTGGGCAAACGACTGGAAACCTCTCTTTCATTAGAGATTCCAACAGAACTAGATTTCTTCCTTGAAGCAAACCATGATCTAATGCATTTTCGTAAGGTAATACCAATAGTGATGGACCTCCACTCTCTGACCACAAGTTCTCTTAACTTCTGTCTGCATAATGCCAAGGTGATATATAAACCCATTCTTGAAATATCCTGATCAGAATTTGTTGGGCAGAAATCAATTTTCTGGACAACATCAAGAGGTTTTTCTGAACCTTTCTCGAATCCTGGGGGAGGAGGCTCATCAATGTCCGCACAATCCATACCATCAGCAGTAGGCAAACCTAATCTCTCAAAGACACTTGCAAATGTTCGAGATGATCTAACTTGTTCTTTTGCATCCAATGAACTTGTGACATTTGCCATTGATTGTACACTAACATCATTAGATGATGAGACAACATGATCAACAACACATGCTACCCCCATTTCAGAATTTTCTGAAATAGTTGGTAAATCATATCTAACCACAGCGGGCATGGAGGTGACAGCAGTGGGAGCGTCCTCTCTGCAAAAGATATTCTCCTGAAAATCAAAATTCAACAGTCGATCAATAACTAAGTCATAAGTACAATGTTGCCCCCCCATGTTCTTCTCTTAATCTATATATACATCAATCCAAATAGAAATGGACAATACACATGACATCACACCTGATTAACTTAATAACAGCACAATAAATAGTTAATAAAGTTATTCATACCTCATCTTCTTCCTTCTGCTTATGGGAATCAGACCACCGCATTACTTCAGCTTCTATAAACTCTTTCAAAAACTCATTTAAGGACAGCAGAACACATGAATGAAGCTTGCGTTCTACACCATTTTGAAGTTCCATCATATGCTTATGGTGTAAATCCTGACTCATGTCAGAACTCTCAACCCTCAAGGAGCATTCCGGAATATCACTTGATTGAGCGTGGGCGTAGGCATGGGTGGGGGCGGGGGCGGGGGCGGGGCCGGGGGCGACAGCATGGTACTCAGGGTTTACTGTAACAGGACCAAAACCAGGAGGGTAATCCAATTCCCTACTGGAAAACTGCAAAACAAGCACTCTTATTAATTGGACACGCAACGTTCATATACCAATGAACAATAACACGACTCCGTAAAATTCAATCAACAAATCGGATAGGACATACATCATCATGTTGTGTATCTTGTTTTGGGGCAGTGAAAGCCACTGGAACAATTGGATACCCAGACCACCTCATTCTCTTGCGCCATGTATGCACATGATCATTTATAGCTTCAGAAAATACGGTCTCCCAAAGGGTTCTCAAGCAAGATTCAAATAAAACATGCTGAATAACTAATAATATTCCTGGAAAAGATTTTATGCTCGCAGTGGACTTTGAGTCCACAGTAGGCACATGTGGAACCCTATCATCAGAATTTGTTTGATTGCCAGCAGAAACGGTAGCAAGATCCATGCACTCAATATTTTTGATATCTTGTTGTTCTCTGGTAAACCCAGGCTGCAGCAACAAGCTAAAAGAAATAAAAAAGCCTAGAAGAAAATAGATGCTCATAGGCTATCAGAGTTCAATTATGCTCAATGAAATACACAAAAAAGCAATTTAATGAAATATCACATTGCCATGAACAGCCAAGCCTTACCATTTGGACATCACAAGAGCTGGCATCTGCAACCCGATTACTCGTCTGAACAACCTTTTGATGTTTATTGGCTTTCTTAGAAGCCGCAAAATGTTGAACAGTGCTACTTATTATTTCATCAAGTATCAATCTGCGAGATGCTTTCATTATCGCTGAGTGCAGTTGGACACTAACTTCTTCGGTTGCATTTTCAAGGAACCTCCCAAGAGGAACGGCATCCCCGGATTTATTCGCTGGTTTAGGATCAGAAACTGCTTCACTCATGCTCCATCCATTTATAATAGTGCCCAGAGTAGAAGGGCTAAACTTGTTATCAACATGATAGACCTAAAGAACAAAAAATGTGACCATTTGCTGAAACTTAGTATTTTTCTTTGTTCTTTTTTTTAAAACTTAAACCGAAAATATGATTATTATATCAGTCAAAATGAGAAGGGATAAAAAGCTATATAAAAAGGACCTTGGGCGAGGTCATGTCTTGATTATCCAATGCCGTCAACAGCTATGAGAGATTTCCAGTACACATAGTCTTTAGGAGAGGGATATATTTGCATATTATGGTCAAAGTGATATTGTTATGGAAGCCAAAAAGCATGCCATGAAAGAATGAATATATAGCACAAATCAGAGATGTTCAACACAAACAACCATAAGCATTTACACTACATCTACTCCTTAAGGTATGACAGTGTCACAATGGCTTTGTTCTAGACAAAAGGCAAACTGAGAATGGATGTCAATGGCTCAAAAAGAGAGGATGGTTTTGGTAGCTCACCGAATTTTCGGAAATAGCATAATATTAGCAGTTACTAAAACAAAGGGAGAAATATCAAAATAACTAAAGGCGCAAGGATATTCCATGGAGTCATACACATACAACATGAGTTCCAAAAATAAGAAGGGAAAAAATGTAGAAAGTAAAAAAGAGTTGACAATGTTTTCCACCAAAAAAAAAGAAGGTACGAAACACTAAGCATCACAACAGGCAATGAGCATATCCTCTACATTATAAATTTGTATATTATATATCGTGTTGCATATATAAGAGTCCCTTTTAACTGCATTCAGTACAAATAAAATAAGAATAGCATGTTACTAGCATACATTTAGGGAAGCTTGGTGGAGAAGCATAGTATTTTCTAGGGTATCTCCCACTCCCAGAACTTCAACAGAAGAAAGAAATCCTTCCCACACGTGCTTCACTCTAACAACTCTATTCCTCCCCAAAAAAAAAAAATGAAGCTCATGAGAAGATAAGGATTTGTTTCAGTGTTCTCTTTTATTATTTTTTGCTTTTTGTTATGATTGTTTTACATCTAGAATTTCCAAATGCTCGTAAGTACATCCATTTCTCAAAATATAGCAAAAGTACCCCTAGTTGTCAACAAATGAATTTATGCCTGGCCATAAAAAACACCTTGGTGTCTCCAATCCCTACAAAGGTAAAAAAAATTGCACATGCAGTTCATGTTTCACACCATTTATAAAGGAAATTCAACTGGAGAAGCCAAGTATTCTGAAGCTAGGGAAATACTTCCCAAGTATATATAGAATGCACACAAAGCAAGACTAAGACATAGTATATGGACTGCAAGTTTAGAAATAATTGGAGCAGAGACGAGGAAATAGTTAACACTTTTTTCTTTTGGAAGTAGTTAAGATTGGCAACCAAGAAATAACAAAATGAACACACTTTCGATATCTTGGGTGGATAATCCAACAAAATCCAGAGATTGAGGGAGAAGGAGATGTTGCACATAGAATTAGAGCTGGGTGGAAGAAGTGGAGATGTGTAACCGAAATTTTATGCAATTGCTGCATACGAATGAAGCTAAAGAGGAAGTTTTATAGGATAACTATTAGACCAACTTGCTTTATGTGGCAGAATGTCGGGCGGTCAAGAAATAACATGCGAGTTGGTTCAAGCTCAAAAAAAAAAAGGGTAAGGAATAAGCTCTGGTTGGAAGTAGTGAGAAAGGACATGGGGACCTACGGCCTCACTAACGTATGGTCCTTGATAAAGGATAATGGCAAACCAAGACTATCCTTAATAAAGCATAACGGCAGACCAAGACTTGTATAGCCGACCACATGGAAAAGGCTACGATGATGACATAGAATGCACATCCTGACAATCCTGACAACCATGAAGGGGATTTGGATTGAAACTGAAGGGGTTTGAATTGCACTACCCCAACATGGGAGCACAATCTTGCTCATGCAACGCAAGAGCACAACCTCCATAGCAAGATCACCACACCCATGATGCTAAGCAAGATCGTGAACCACACCCATGATGCTAAGCAAGATAGCAAGATCGTGACCCATGTTGGGTGATCGCAGTAATGATGAAAGGATGTATGCGTCGTTAAATAGCGATCATCAAGTCGTCCACTAGAGTTCAGTTATGTACTGAATTCATCACATAGGACTAACATAAATTGTGAATATATATGCTTAAAAGCAGGAATATATTTACAATCGCAATTGTGGCTTACCATCACAGAGTCGGAAATATATCCATTAACATGCCATGAATATAGTAGTGATCGAGAGTATGGCCCATGTTTTCTTCCTTCTCCATCCTCAAAAAACCAGCATGATTCTTCCCAAGACTGCAATAAGTAGAAGAAATGAAACACCAAATTACAATGCACTTAATGTTGCAGAACCCAAATTGAGATCCTAGCTTAAGAAACTAGACACCAAAAATTCTTTTCTATATGGCTTATTCTTGTAAAGAAGGTCAAGAGTAAAATCACCATAAGAGGAGCAACTGCGGACAAAGCCTGAGAGATAATGTCAACATTCACAATTTCCTGATTCGAAGTGCAGTTACTACTTGAAACAAATGATTGAGGTCCTGACTGCATATTTGAAAGCACAGAACCAGAAGCGACACCATGTCCAACACAGTCCTTTTCCATAAGAGATTGAGATGCCAACACTGCACTGGAGGACGGAAAATTATTTGCAAATTCATGGCTAACATTTGGTACCACAGAGGGAATGGCCGCCGCTGGTCCAGGAAGGTGCACATCAACACTGTTATGAATCTGAAAAATGTATTTCAAGGGTACAGGTGTGGCTACATTGCCTCCTATGACTGCATATACAGGGAGTTCATCCGGCAAGAAACCCGTTGATAGGCCTTCGTAGAGTTGTTCTTGACTGTAAGGCCCACACATCTGCCCACGTTCATTAACATATGTCCATCCACTCACATTAGTTGTTTGGACACCACCAGAGATCATATTGTATTGCCCATTACCTTCCACACTAACACATGAATGAGAAAGATCGCCAGCATCACTGGTGGATTGGCAGCTTCCTTCCACAGGAGGTGGTGAGCATACCATTCCCAATGAATCGCAGTGCGAGGAAAGTTCGTGAGTGTTCCTCGAGCAACTGTAGAAACCAAGAGATGTTAACAGGAGGAAAAAATAAACAATTGATTTTTGGAAACCTCTATTTATGTATGCATGTGAGCATTGTGAGAGAGAGACAATCAATTACCACTATAACCTCTCTCTCTCTCGAGCATTAAGAGAGAGTCAATTATTACCACTACTCTCTCTCTCTCTCTCTCTCTCTCTCTCTCTCTCCCACACACACACACACACACACACACACACACAATGATGAGGTAAGTCCTCATCGTATCTCAGTTGTGGAAGTGTTTATACATCTCAGATACCACAACCTAGTCAAATTGAAGATCGAAAAAGGACATTCTCTGGAATGGGCCAGTTATTTGGGATTTTAGATATGTGAAGAGCTATATCATAAAAAAGAGCCTATCCAACGAATAGAAAACACAAAACATATTAACTGGTGGACGAAATCAAGGGCTGAGCAGACATTTTGAACAACCAAACTTGCAATAAAACTGGCAAGAATAGAATCAAAGTGTATTATTACAAACCATTCAAAGGCCCGACCCTCCCATTGCGCAGGTGGGTATGAAGAAACTTCATGGATGCTTCCAATGCAGGTGTAAGCTTCAGGACTCGATCCTCCAGGGCTCGATATTTTGAGCCGCTTACTTCGACCAAAATGACCGGGATATTCATACAAAGTACTCGCAGTGGCATTATGGTCCGTATTGCAACCACAACGAGTTGATGCAACCATATAGCCTATGATTTCCTCACATAACATCTGATAGAATCAACATGACCAAAGGAGATGGAAATTTTAGCATCATTGTAACGATGTGAGTAAAAAGATATGGTGAGATAGAACAAAAGAAAACAAAACATTGACAAAAGGAACAATCAATCCAATACACAACATGACTAAGAAACCATGGTTAAGAAAATAATGCACCGGATAAATGAATACATGATCAATACAAATATTCGTTTGACAAAGGCGGAGGTACATGTCAATATATGTGCGATAATTCCAAAGTACAGTGGTCAATTTCGAACTCAACAGTATTTCCACCTAATTTTGAAAAAAAAAAATTTCAACAACTTGGCAAGAAGATGAAATTTTTAAAATACTATACATAAGGTAATATGGGATGGAATTTGTTTCTATCAAAACTAAGGCTCGGTATCAAACAACAGTACTCAAGATTGGATCAAATTCTGGAATTTATAAAGAAACATCTCCAAACTCTGGCTGATTAAATGGGTTAACAAATTGGCCAATTAATCCAAATTTAAGACTGAAACTTGCATAAATATACCAAATCACAAGCATGGGTAACTGAAATTCGGCAGAAACATTGAATTTTATTCCAAGATCCAGTCTTTTCCTGGAAAAATAAAAATGTCCTACAGAAATCGAAATTATTTCCTAAACTTCCTAACAGAGGCCTCACTTGATTTATAATATACCTCAACTAGAAATCCAAGAATGGTCCCCAAAACAGATAAACAACCCAATCACAACCAATAAAACTCATTAAAAACCCCGCAGTTAATAAAGATACATAAACATACGCTGCCACAACATGAAAGCTATTCCTTTTCTCCTATCAGGATCATGAAACCCAAAGTCAAGCCCAAGATTGTTGCAGTACCAACTATAAACCCTAATCAGCATGAAATAGCACAAAGAAACCCCGATATCCATGAAGGTCAAGCACAATACCGTTAATCAACGTGAATCATTTCAATAAACATACGAATCCATTGAATGAAAAACAAAACCCTAATTTTACAGAAAACAATAACAAAACCCTGATCAGGAAAATATCAAGGAAATTACAGGGTCTTGAGAATCCCAAGCAAAAGGCATCTCGATGCGACCATGAGCTAGGGTTTTGAGATGAGATCTCGATCTATACAGCTGATTTTAGGGTTTCGATTCAGTAAAAGGGATTTTTTAGGGTTTTTTATTGGAAGAAGAAGTTAGATCCCACGCCCGTGTTAACGGAAAACTTCTGCAGAGCATCCAATCAACCCAGGTAAAGAATCTTTTGTTGGATTATATAGGAGGCTAATGACCAGAACGACCCCAGTCATTTATTGAAATAGCTAGAAGAAATTGTCATTAGGATACGGACAAGTTATCAAACTGATGGGGGGTTTGGTCATTTATTGAAATGGCTAGAAGTAATTGTTAGTAGCATACGGACAAGTTATCAAACCGACGGGGCTTTGGCCCATGTAATGGCCAAACGGTTGGGCTATATTTTAGATAAATAAATAAATATATAAATAAATATAAATAACTTTAAAATATAATATATATTAAAAAATTTATCCACCTACATTTAGCTAGTTGAATTAGTTAAAATCGGCTTGACCAACTGGCTAAACTTGTCCAATATCGATTTTGACTACTATTTAATTGAACTCAATTTTACTTTCTACCGATCAGCTAAGGCATTGTTGGCGATCCGAGTGGTCCGCCTATTGGTTTTGTCTAATCTCAATAATTATGTACATGAGTGAATAATGGGACAAGTGCTATGAGGAACGATTTCGCCATTATGCTGGTGGGGGTTTGTCCAGTCAAAATTGGTTTGGTTATAAATAGAGCTATTTGGATAGGATTTTTTTTAAAAAAGTAATATTTAATAAATTTAAAATATATTAAATTATTGTGCAATTTGTTTAGCATATCAAACCAGTCCAAACTAACTAACCCCATCGTTCAAAGCTAATTAGATTGTGAACGATTTTTTATAAATCCTAGTGTTTACTTTGAACCAAGATGACCACAACACTAGTCCAATAGTACAAGATCTCCACCACCCAATGCAATTGAGTTTTGAAAATTGAATTTTTTATACTCGAAATTGTGGGTAGGGGACTACGCCTCAGCCTTAATTTCGAATGTAAACAAAATGATAAGTTGGTAGAGTATGGATCCTGTAGAGTCGGGTATAACCCTACTAGGGGCGTAAGATATGGATGAGGGAAGATGGTCCCTCAATTAAATTCTCCTATCAATTCTCCCTCTTCCTATTGATTCTTCTAAATTACGTTTCGAGAGAGAATCGGGTCCTAGTACTTCATCCCTCTCTAATCGCCGATAAAGTCGGCTTCCCTACTATTTTAATCTTGGAATTCAACCAATAAGATTATAAAAGGGGTTTTGAGATAAGAAGAAGATTTAAAAAAAACAAATTTAGAAATATAACAAATGAATAGAACCATAGATAAATGACTAAAGTAGAGATATACAAATAAACATGAGTAAGTAATATAACTATGAATTGCAAGAATAACACTAAAGTAAAAAGCATGGAGATAAGGACATGAGGCTAATCTAAGCATTTGTGACATATAATAAAAGATAGAGACAATAATGTGGAGATAAATACATGGTTACGAATAAGAAAAATGATGGGCCGTTATAAAAAGGGGAGGGGTGGAGGTCTCTATAATACACTACAACACACACAAGAAAGGTATGAGAGCTCTCCTTGAGAGATAAAGAAAGAGTAAAAGAGATAATCAATCCTTCTCCCATTTGAGATCTAAGTAAAGATCCAGCCCTGAGTGATAATGAGTTGTGAGTGAGAGTCGAGTTTGGATTGCTCTTATCGCATCTGTTGGAGTGTTTATGAGTTTCTACCTCACTCGAGATTGCGATGTGGAATTGATTTCAGCAACTCTAGTAGTTGTCGAACGTGCCTACGTGAGTTGATCATTCCTCTCCACATTTGTTCACCAAAATTGTTGCGCGAGCACTCAAGTATGATATCTGATTTCTTGTTGCTTTATTTTGCTTCCGCTTCGGCAGTTAGACCATATTTTTTCCAACATTGGTATCAGAGCCATCATGGAACCGGGTTCCCAATTGTGCTATAATAACCATTCCCATCTTACTTGTGAAGGCTTGGCTGTGGTTGGCCTATGATTTTGCAAAGTGCACATAATGGTTAATATTAAAACCATAGGCATGTGTGTTATGCAATCTTCATAGTTGTATTGGCCTTATGCATGGGTTATGCAAGTTGAGGCATCCTAGACCATGAGGATCATGGCTAACTAATCTTAATAGGCTTCATATGCTAAGCCGTGCATAGTGGGCTTTACTCTTTTTTTTTATATGTGAAGGTCGCATAAAAAGGACAGTTTTTTTTTTTTTTTGTGGGAGTGCTTCTAGAAAGGTGTACTGCTAGCAAATTGTGAGGTATTTAAGATACTAGATCCAAGAAATAAATTGTTATTGATTACAAGCAAGAGTTCAATGTGGCCGCGCGAAATTTTCATATCAGGACTTTTAAAGGTAAAGTTGTTTTAAGTAGCTAGACAATTAGCAAGTGTAAAAATGATAATCTAAGGGTCATCATGTATCAAACAAACCATGTGACATCCATATTAATTGGTGCAATTTTTTTGTTTTGACTTAGAATGACTTCTAAAAGTGTGATTACGGATCTCACTAAAGGTGAAAAGTTGTATGGGAGTAATTTTCCTATGTGGCATAGGAAAATGCAATGCCTTCCAAATGAGCAATGTACACTTGAACAAGGTGCCGCTGAAGAATTTGTCCGTGAATATGAGGCATGGGACAATGCCGACCGGAGCATTCACTTTAATTTACTAAGTGCTATGGTTGATGACCTCATTCGTGAATTCAAAGGATTTACAACGACAAAGGTCATGTGGGATGCGCTTCAACAGAAGTATGCTGGCACTTCCGCTGCTCGGTAACGAGCCTTATTTATGGCTTTTGAGACATACAAAATGCCTCCAAATGTGTCGATGGCGGACCATGTCCGAAAAATGTCTCAAATGATATATGACCTAGAGGCAGCTAGAAACAAACGCAGACACGAGCAACAGAAGCTCAGATTGCTTAGGTCTCTTATAAAATATTGCGAAAACATAAAGTCATTGATGCTGCATAATGACGTTGTAACAATTTTTTCCCAACTTTCTCATCACCTTGAGATAGAGGCTGAGTTTCGCTCATCTTCTAGAGCTGGAACCGCTCCAATTGCCCAATCCAGCAGGCCTCGAGGCCGTAAACCTCGAGGTAAGTTTAGAAATGGGGAACCTCAAAGGAATGAGCAACCGAAGAAAGTAGCTGAGGAAAAGAAAAAGGCCAGGCATAGACACGGGAGACGCATAGAGGACAAATTCGAGATAACTTGCTACAATTACGAGAAAAATGGCCACTATGCACGTGAATGTCCCGAACCTAGAAAGGTACGAACTAATTTCCTTGGCTATGCAAATGTTTGCACTTACGTGCTTGTTACTCATTCACAATTTACTACGTGGATTGTGGATTCATGAGCAACAAGGCATATAGCAAGGGATCGAGAAGCATTCGTTGAGCGCCAAACTTTGCCTGTTGGAAGTTAAAAGATCTTCATGGGGAATTGCGCATCAAATGATGTGTTAGGGGTTGGAACTTACCAACTCCGATTCCAGAGTGGACGGACCATTCTTCTCCAAGACGTCCTCTATGCTCACGGAATAAGAAAAAGTTTGCTTTCAGTTATATTTCTAGTTAGAGACAGTTGCTTAATCAATTTCATGTTTAATTATGTTATCTTTACATTTTCAAATGGTTTTCATTGTTACGACCAGATTTTTAATGACTTATTTATTTTGGATAATAATGATATTAATTTTTCCCTTCCTTCTACCTATTTGACATCGTCATCCTTTTCCACCTCTTATATTACATACAACTCCATAATGTGGCATGCTAGGCTTGCTCATACAGGAAAATATAAGATGACCCAGTTAGTCAAAGAATATGATTGTTGCCTTTATCCAACAAAATAGACCTACTTATTTGTGAATCATGTATAGCTAGAAAATCAACTCGAAAGCCATTTCTTAAAGCAAGAAGAACAATCGGTCTTCTAGACATAATACATTATGACATTTGTAGTCCATTTAATGAGATGGCCCGTGACGGTTCCTATTATTTTATCACATTTATCGATGATTATTCTTGCTAAGGATATGTATACCTAATCTCCCATAAATCACAAGCAACAGCTTGCTTTTGCCCTTTTATGCTAGAGGTTGAAAATCAGTTGAACAAAATAATTAAGGTTCTTCGTACTGATCGAGAGCGAAAATACTTATCTAATTAATTTAATAAGCTTTGTGAGAATAAGGGAATCCGAAGATAAGAGACGATGTCCTACACTCAGCAACAAAATGGTGTTGCAGAAAGAAGGAACCGTACTCTGTTGGACATGATGAGGTCTATGATGGCTCACACCCACCTCCCCATATCATTTTGGGGAGATGCACTCCTCGCTGCGATATATGTCTTAAACAGAGTGCCATCAAAATCTATTCTCAATACCCCTTATGAGTTATGGACAGGTAGAAAGCCAATTTTTTCTCATTTACGTCATTGGGGGTCAGCTGCACATGTTCACATCACTTATCAATTGATAGGGAAACTGGACAGACGGTCTCCAATTTATTTTTATCAGATATTTTGAGCACTCAAAGGGATATGTGTTTTATCAAGAACATGATGGTGGTGGGATGAAAGTAATACAATCTCGCGATGTAGATTTTATAAAGACAAAATTTCCTAACAGGAAGTCGTCTCGTATGTATGAAAAGCTATATGAAAAGCATGAATATCATACAGACGTTGATATAGTTCTTTCACTTGAGGGTAATAGTAGGAGTATTCCCATGATTGTCAATGATAGTGGGAGTGAGCCACTGGTTGAGAATGGGCATATGATCCATATTGAGTCATCGACCATGTTAGAGACACCTATTGAAAGTGGATTACGAGTTGAACTTCGAAAAAGTAAACATGGAAAAGTTCCTCGTAGATACTTCGAAGTAGATGGTCTCACGTACAATTCACTTGATGTTGATGAGCCTAGCTCATTCCAAGAGGTATTGAATTCTCCTGTTGTGGACCAGTGGATGTCTACTATGAAAGATGAGCTTAGTTTTATGGAGTAGAATCAAGTCTAGTCGTGGATTTGCCGCCTAATAGAAGATCAATTGAAAA